GTGTGTGTGTGTGTGTGTGTGAGAGAGAGAGAGAGAGAGACAAAACAAACGCGTCAGGCCCGCAGCGTCAGGCGCGTCAGACAAAAGAAAAGAAAACTAAAAACAATAAACAAAAATCACCGCAACTCGGAAACCCCCACTCGATGGCCACTACAAGCTACTTTAAAGATTCGAACGCCCGACCTCTTTTCCAAAAGTAACGATAAAAGAAAGCAAGACTCAAGGGACGTCTCAAGATTCGCGACTTTGTCACTCGCGCGTCAGAAGTTTTACATCGGACGTCTCCACAGGAAAACACTAACGTGGACCGTCGCAGACGCGAGACACTAGCGTGGACCATCGCAGACGCAAGAGTCGCGTCCGCGGCCAAAAAGTTTTATGGGAGTGGTTAGATGTTTCACCAACAATTTTTCTGAGTTCAAAAAGGCAGACTCGAATTTTTTGTGCAATGCGGTGTACGTACCCGCACATGGCCGGTAGGCTGGCCTATCAAGCTGCCAGCATGTGTACCGCCGTGACCTTTGGATTGGGGCTAGGGGACTGGTGGTTTACGATTCCAGCCAGTTGAATCCTCACCGTTTTGTCAGTAGAGGGACTGCCAGATTTCCCCTAGATCAGGCCAGTAGACACATACACAAACGTAGTATCTTTCGAGGGAAATCGACCCTTTGTTCTGGACCAACGGGTCTAGCTCAGTTGGTACACCCGTGAACTGTTGAAATACAAACCTGAGCTCGAAACCAGATGGAATGAATTTCTTCAATTACCCAGGACTCCGTCTAGGAAAATGCTCCAGAAAGCCAAGTGGGTCATTCCGAACCACGAGTGACTGAACACCAGAGAGTACTCCCGCACCTGATACCCCGCCTCTACAACAACCTGGGCGTTTTCAAAAAGGGAAAAAAAAAAAAAAAAAAAACTTCAATTACCTGGGGCATGTCAATTGACAATGACATGTCAAGGACGTCACCCTTTTATTGAGATAAATCATAAATAAATAAAAATCAGACAAGAACATAGAGACATCCTGTAACTTCACCCTTCCTGGGATATAGGACTGGCAATTCTCCCGACGTCAACCCGTGAGCCGTTGGAACACCTACCATTCCCAAATGAATCTAGCAGCACCAATTCACTTAGCCCGCCCATGGAAAAATGACGGCACAGCAATGTGTGTACTGCAGTAAACTCTGTGTCATGCTCATCAAATCTTATATTAACAACATTTCTCGCGACCCGACATCGTTGCGAGGAGATCTGTCCCTCGGCAGGCCCTTACAGGGCCCCTTTGCAAGCCCTCTGCCCGCCCTAAGTGACGGCGGGCCTGCACATCTCGATGACGCCTAAATTTTGCCATTTTGAGGTCCTCATGGGCGCCGGACAGTTTACCTCGCGCCAGTTTGTTACATGGGCCATGCCTGCGAGCAACCGTGTCTTCTAGAGCCTTTAAGGCTCATCCGGGCTCTACGTGGAAGCAGGCCTTTCGGCCTATCACATCCACGCAGAGGGCAAGTCAAGCCACGTCTGGTAGTTGGGCGCCTCCTAACTGTTTCGGTCCCGGACCACTGTCTGAATTGGACCTGGGCGAAGACACCTTGGCCCAACATGAAGCAGCTACTGGGCACACGAGTCTGCCAGGCAAGGCAGCCATCGGGCCAGGGCACTTTCCATATAGGAAAGAGCCTGGCCACGAGCAGGGCATTCGGGCACTTTTCAGCTCGTTGGGCGTCAGCGCCACTGGTATGAGCACTCGTGGCCACTGGCAGAGAAGGTGCTTGGGCGCACACTGGCGCAGGAGGTGTAAGTGGGTGCTGCTAGAGGCAGCACCAGATAGCAGCCATAGCCGGGGCTGAGTATCAGAAGCCAGCGGGGTATGGTGGTGGTCCTCGATGGAGGACGAACGCGGGGAAGAAGACGAGAGAGGACTAAGAGAGGGCGGGATACACAGAGAGAGAGAGGGACAGAGAGGGCGTGTACCTGGTTCATCGCAGTGGTCTGCATGGGTGACATCTGCACATACTTTGGTTTCAGCATGACGTCATCCGGTTGCATCACCGTAGTTTGGGTTAGTATAGGAGCTGTGTGATCTTAGTCTGGGCGCTGCACGCCAATAGAGAGAAGAGCCATCGGACACATTGTTGATGGTGGCAAGAGCGGGCTGACGCTGACAATTGAGTTCATGTACTTTGGTCTCCTTTGGTGGTGTGATATTGGTGCATTTCCGCTTTCTGAACAGCTCACTTCTATCTGGCTTACGATGTTGCAATTTGGTGGTGTGATATTGGTGCATTTTCGCTTTCTGAACAGCTCACTTCTATCTGGCTTACGATGTGATGTTGCAATTTGGAATTTTGTCACTTCGCTCTTGATCATTTTCCTTGCATCAAGCGCATATTCTTTTGAAGAGTCGAACGGCTAACAGAACAGCATGGAACCCAAAAAGGTAAGGTACATGAACTTCATGAAGATCCCAAGCTTGAAATACTGACTCCGTTGTCGCTCAAATCTGCCGAGTTAAGTCAACATAGGACACTTGGGCTGGCACAGTTGGATCGAAAAGTTGAGCTTGTTTAGCAGGCACACATTGTGCAAAAATGCATTTCTTCCAAACAAGCTCAGCAAGCATGCAATAGTCCAAAAAACAACATAAGATTACCATAGAAAGAAAGCGGGCCCGGATTGGCCAGTCGGACCAAGCTGCTTGGACCAAGTTGACCATCAGATCTGACCCACAGTGCCTACCCCAATTTGATCAGATTAGCCATCAAGTTTGAGGAGCACTTTGCATGTTTTGTCGAATCACTGTCGTTGAGGTGCCTCGATAACAGGGGAGCACCCTTGTCATAGAGGGGGGTTTTACCCCTCTACATCAGTGAGGCGCTCGGATTCTACCAGTCCTTGAACTCACGATCCGTTCATCAACAGGTACATGTGTACCAGTCAGTGCCGTGTGCTGGGTTATGACAGGGATGCATATGTGCAGATTCCATCTGAGTAAATGGGTTTTCGAATTTCCGTCATCGTTGCGGTGTCCAGAAGACATGGGTGTTTGTATTGTGGGGACACTAGGAAAGCGGCAAAAACCTGTTTCATCTTCCCATGAAGAGCCACGATCTGCAATGAGCGCAACGGCTTGAGGCATGGGAGCAGGGTTCCCCAGTAGTTAACACATGCACATGTCATTACATACCTGAAGACAAACAACCAGAGAAACAGTCGTTATGAAAGTGACCATTTTAGCAGTGGTTACGAAACAGCGGTTAACAAAACAGAGAAACAGTGATCACAAAACTGACCACAATTACCAGTGGTTAAGAAAACAGGGAAACAGTGGTTATGAAAGTGACCATTTTAGCAGTGGTTAGGAAACGGTCGTTAACAAAACAGAGAAACAGTGGTGACAAAAGTGACCATAATTAGCAGTGGTTAAGAAAACAGAGAAACAGTGGTCACGAAAGTGACCACATTTAGCAGTGGTTACGAAACTGTGGTTAACAAAACAGAGAAACAGTGGTCACAAAAGTGACCATAATTAGCAGTGGTTAAGAAAACAGAGAAACAGTGGTTACGAATTCTTGCATATTGTATCTTTGCAATGTGTTCTCCAGATCTTCCCTGTTTGACAAAGTGCTGAAGGTTCAGTATCCCATGAAGCACACTAACATAAAAGAAAAACAGGGAAAAGAAATCATGCAAGGCGGATGGAAAAAAAACAACTGGGGCTGCCACGACCCGTATGGCTTCTGTTTTGAACACTGTGTCACAGTTGCAGTTGCCAAGGCACCCGGCTGTTATGGCCGAGATCACGGGTTCAAGTCCGTGTGGCCACGGATTTGGTCCTGGCAAATATACTGAATATCGGCTCCAAGCATAATGAGACGGGACTGGGGTCAAGCTCTTACGCTGTTGTTCAGCTGCTCTCTCTCTCTCTCTCTCTCTCTCTCTCTCTCTCTCTCTCTCTCTCTCTCTCTCTCTCACACACACACACACACACACACACACACACANCACACACACACACACACACACACACACACACACACACGCACACACACACACACGCACACAACACACACACACAACACACACACACACACACACACACACACACACACACACACACATTACTAGTGATACACTGCTATTCACCATTTTGTCTGAAGAAGCAAGCACATTTCTCCCTAGGTGAGGTGATTAGATAGGCTGGAAGAAAACAAACCTGGGCTGGTAGCCTAAATGAACATTTACTATCACCCTTTTACACTAAGTTGGCAAGACTACAAAACCAGACAGAGAAACTCATCGCTTGGACAACACCAGTGGCACAGGCAGCAAACGGCGGAAGAAAATGTACCCCACTAAGCCCACTTAGTAAAGAGGTCGCAATATCAACACGAGGCATCGCACGGCAATTTTTGTTCTCCTTTTTTTTTTCCTCCTACAAGATAGACCATCAAATCACCTTCGAGCCAAACAAAAAGAAAAAAAGTCTATGCGGCAGCTGTTGTACTCACATAATGATCTTGGCTGTGGCATGTTCGCTCAGAAAATGCACCAGCTGTCCAAGCTTCTCGTCTGCTTCACTCACCACATACTTCCTTGACCAGAAGGACACAGAAAGCCAAGACAAGGCACATCATGTTACTGCATTATAAAATGCTATTAAATCATATACACGTCCGGAAACGCCTACCCGAGTTCACAACCCATAACTCCAACCAATCTGAGTTTGAAACGCGCAGCCGCAACATTACAGCAGCAGGAACAGAGGAAAAGCTGCATCAGCCTCCGCGACTCCAGTCGACACTTAGGGGGCAACAACACAATCGCATTGCTGACATATGCATGAAATGAACTGCAGGTCGATATCCAATGCAAACTAGGGCCTCCTCCCGCTCGCACTTTCCTGTTGTTTGCTAACTTGGGAAAGCTGAACACCAGGTTGTATCTGATGAGAGACAGATACTACGGGGGGGGGGGAGGGACTGAGAATCGACTTGGGTAAATTGATGCCTCATTTGCAAGAAAAGTGTTTCGGGCCTTTCAGCATCTTTGCCGCAAAACGGATCAGCAATGATGACCTCTCTTTATCCCTAGTCAGGCAATAGACAATGATGCTCATAACACTTTCCTGAAACATCACGCCCCGGCCCTATTACAAGTTCCCAAAGGAGAATAATCTGCCTAAAGAGGCAATTTCCAAAGAAATTATGTGTCCCTATCCCAAAAACTCATGCCTCGAAAGGAAACCATGCCTGTATGCCCCAAACGAGCCATGCCTTTGTCGCAGAACAATCCATTTCATTTTCCCAGTGCCAAAAGATTCATGCCCTTGTGCCTCATGCATGAACAGAAGAGAAAGTTTATGAATCTCACACAGGGACTTTTCTGGATGCATCTGACTGCAATTGTGGCCGTCCATGGACGTATGTGACTGTAGTTACGTCCAGAGCGGAGTCAAAAGGCCTACAGTATGGTCAACTGTCTACCTCGTATGCTCTTCGCAGCAACATCAAGAGCATACAGGACTCGAGCAGTTAGTGGACATGATGGACTTGATGAGGATTTGAAATGCAGGCACAATACCGCAAGCATTCACCACAACACTCGCTAGGTGCAACGAACTTAGCTGCTTGGACCATGCACCCAGAAAGAGGAGCTGATTGATTGCAGATGCCATAGCCTGGTCCAAAAAGGAGGCCACTCAATTTAGTCCATCGTGGTACTCCCATCAAATTGGAAGATCTCCATAGTCTCTAAGATTCAGCTGACTAGGGTTTGGGGTTTGTGACCACGAGGTGTGTATAAGTGATACACCAGACCAGACATGTTTGTTAAGGAAGGCACAACACCCCTCCCCCCACCGCCCCTACCATTATTGCATCCATCAGGATTTAAACTCAGAATCTGTTTATTGACACAGCTGCAAGTGTCCCATTGAGCAACAAGAAAGGGGTACCAACAAAGATAAAAGTTGTATCAAAGATGTCTTCTTTCTCTGCATTTATGTTGACGACTGACTTGTTTGGCAAGGAAGGTCCAAAGCACCATGTTGTCACCTTCACTGTGTTCGCATTGATGACAGGCCAATAGCCTGACGTCTGCGGAGGTCTCTGCCAAATGTACTAACTGACCTGCATCCGAAGATTGGCGGGAGTCTTCGGAACATCCGAATGAGGACCAAGCAGCTTGGGAGGATACACGGCTTCGCTTCCTTTACCCGCACCTTCGTCCGGTGCAGGTTTTGCCTTTTTGCTCTTTTTCACCGGCTGCGACTTCACCTCCACCCTCACCGCGTTCCGCATCCCCGCCCTTGCGAGTTCCTCCACCTAAATTTTGTTTTGTGAAACACAAAAACGAATGCAACCCATTGCTTATCACATGTACCATCAACTCATTTCGCAGACTGTACTACCTACCATTAAACCACCCGTACCTGCCGCATTCTTAGGCCATTAACGCAGTGGATGAATCGGCCTGCCGTGCAGGTCTGTATTCATTCGAGTGAGAGGGGGCCTAAGAACACAGTAGGTACTGGTGGTTTAAGCTGACGGTAAACAGCTATAAGTGTTAACAAACGCGTTGAACAAACAGGGGCTAAGAGACTGTCGAGTAGAAATACAGCAATGTGTTGTCGCCACGGACTGTGACACAACAAGTAGAAAGCATAGCAAACCCCAAGAAGAAGAAGAACAAAAACAACAACAACAACAACGAGAACAGGAAAGATCAAGAAATAACAAGGAAGAGGAAGAAGAAGAAGAAGAAGAAGAAGAAGAAGAAGAAGAAGAAGAAGAAGGAGAAGAAGAAGAAGAAGAAGGTTTCTGAGGTTAGCTCAACTTCCCAGGGTTGTAACTCTCTGTCCAGGCCACTGTAGAAAGGAGGAGGAGCAGGAGGAGAAGGGGGAGGACGACGACGAGACAAAGAAAGACAGAGATGCTATCATATCTCACTTTTTTTTTTTTTTCAATTGAAAAGGCTCCTTCTATTCTGGGCTTGTATCTTTTCAGGTTTTCATAGTTTTGGTTTACATGCACATAATGATACTATGCGTGCTTTAGGCCGTCCACAAGATATGTTTTCAGATACAGCTATTCAATGACAACCTATATTCGCTCGATGGATACAAAATACTCACGTTTCGGCACCAAATTTGACTGCTCCTCAAGCAACATCAGCAACTAGTCCAGTGTCGGGAGGACTGATCACTGTAGGAGGAAAAGCAGCTATTTAGGTAGCACACATCAATCTTGGACTTCATTCACTCGCCTTCTCACAACATGTCTAGAGAGAGTGCCATCTCACAGGTTTGATTACAACAAAGGCTTGCTGAGTCAGCAATGGTTAGTCACATATGTGATGAAATGAAATGAGCCAAATACTCGTCAAGTTCAACCTCGCATACATCAATGAACATTCACATGAGAGTTCACACGTGAGAATCCAAATCGAGATAAAATCACACTTGAAGATGTCATCTCCAATATTATTATCAATATACAAGAGCGTTTGTCTCCAGCGGCTCTGCCGCACACACACACGCATCGGATCTCAACCAGATTGAATTGGGATCTGGACTGGGATGTGTTATTATTAAACAAACAGGGTAAAACGCCAGTATAGACTCTCTTGTCGCTAAACACCACTCCTGTGAAAAGCACCGATCGGAACAGAAAGCTCTTCTAGCTTGTGCCCTGCCGCTTGAGTGATGCGATACATACTCTCTTGTCCCTCGAAAGCACCGCTGCAAAAGCACACCGACCGAAACAAAAAAAAAAAGGGTCCTGGTCCCTGGATCATTTCCAGGCCAGTTGAATCCCGGTTCCAGGCCAGCCTGAATTGGGATCTGTGGACTGGAATGGGTTATCGGACAAACAGGCTAAAACACCAGTGTCAATCCCAACTGGATTTGCAGGCCCTCGTTACCTCCTGTTTGTCTTACCCGCTCGTTATTCTCGAGTAACAGTAAAACCCGGTGATTAAGCCCAGCCTTATCCCGTCGTAAGCGTAATTCGATTAAAGATAAGGCTGGGCTGGAAACGCAAAGGTTGATCGAATCCCATCGTTAAAATCTTCGTAAGCGTTAAAATCTGCTTTTGAAAACAGGGGACCACATCCTGCTCAATTCTGCAAAAACAATTCAAAAGTTAAAATCTCAGTAGTGATTTCGCTGCATACGATGTGGACCCTGTTTGTACCATTGGGGACAGCTGCATTTACTATGCTATTTTCTTGTCTCGATATCTTTCCATCTCACACTACCTACCCCAGGCTGTGTACTCAAACTGGTCTACCCACCTTCCGGACCTGCAAGGGACACGGCAACCCAACCAGCAAGGAACCCAGCTCCATGTCTTCAAGGCCAACTACAGGGTTTAGGGTCACAAGGACTTCACACCATCCACCTATAGCAAAGGAAGCTTAAATTCACTATGCAGCACTAAGCTATCCTAAGGTTATGGGTCTACGCCTACCTGTCTCTACTCTGTGCCGGGAGCACAACCCAGCCTCCTTACACCCCCGCGCGGGCTGGAAATAACCAACCAATTACTTCTACAACCAGCCAGGAGGCCCAAGCCATCAATCTCTGGTGGTGAGCCCCAACCATACCCCCTGAAGAATGTTTAAACTTTAAACTTTCAACACGAATATAGTGTATTTCTGTCCTTCCCGGCATCCGCTAAAATTGGAACGATACAAAGA